TATAAATGTCATTACTTTATTTGTGATTTTGATACATAACGATATCAATATCGTTTCAATACAAGTTTGACGACGTTGATATCGTTTTAGCTTAAATCATAACAAAAACCAAATGCATATCGTTTTAGTTAAAATAAAAAGATACTTATATAATTTCTGCTAAAAATAATGATTCAATCATCCATGACCACCAGACATGCATCTGACATATGTAGGATGATCAAAATAGGTAATCAAGTGAGTTTGATCTTCCTCAAAAAAACTATGAGAACATCTTCGAACTATTCCGACAGAAAGTATTTTCGTTCGCTCTTTTCAAGTCATTCGATTGGTATCAACCCACTTGATGACCTCTTTCGATCGCCATACGTATGCTGAAGGCATGATGGGTGATTGTGGGCGGTTGAATCGTTATTTTTAGCTAGAACGATATAATTATCGTTTTATATAAAAAGAAACGATATCTACATTGTTATACTTGTGATTTGAATTGGAACGATTTCAAACCCGTCAATTTTGTGCTAAAAGGAGATGAATGTCATTATTTTATTTGTGATTTTGATACGTAACGACATTATTATCGTTTCAATACAAGTTTGACGACATTGTTATCGTTTTAGCTTAAATCATAACTAAAATTACATACATATTGTTTTAGTTAAAATAAAACGACAATTATATCGTTTATGCTAAAAATAATGATTCGACCGTCCACGACCACCAAACATGCATCCGGCATATGCAGAATGATAAAAATAGATAATCAAGTGGGTTCGATTTCCCTCAAAAGAAATTATGAGAATATTTTTGTTCTCATGATTGTATACCATCTTCGTACTATTTTGATAGAAAGTATTTTCGTCCGCTCTTTTTAAGTCATTCGATTGGTATCAACTAACTTGATGGCCTCTTTCGATCGTCCTACGTATGCTGAAGGCATGACGAGTGGTTGTGGGCTGTCGAATCGTTATTTTTAGCTAGAACGATATAATTATCGTTTTATATGAAAAGAAACGTTATCTATGTCGTTATACTTGTGATTTGAATTGGAACGATTTCAAACTCATCAAATTTGTATTAAAACGATATGAATATCGTTACTTTATTTGTGATTTTGATATATAACGATATCATTATCATTTCAACACAAGTTTGACCGTCCACGACCACCAAACATGCATCTTACATATGTAGGATGATCAATATAGATAATCAAGTGGGTTCGATCTCCCTCAAAAGAAGCTATGAGAACATTTTTGTTCTCATGATTGTATACCACCTTTGTACTATTTCTACAAAAAGTATTTTCGTTCGCACTTTTTAAGTCGTTCGATTGGTATCAACTCACTTGATGACCTCTTTTGATCGTCCTATGTATGCTGAAAGCATGACGGGTGGTTGTGGACGGTTGAATCGTTATTTTTAGTTAGAACGATATAATTATCGTTTTATATGAAAAAAACGATATCTATGTCGTTATACTTGTGATTTGAATTGGAACGATTTCAAACTCGTTAAATTTGTACTAAAGCGATATGAATGTAGTTATTTTATTTGTGATTTTGATGTATAACGATATCATTATTGTTTCAATACAAATTTGACGATATTGATATCGTTTTAGCTTAAATCATAACTAAAATTACATACATATTGTTTCTGTTAAAATAAAACGATAATTATATCGTTTGTGCTAAAAATAACGATTCGACCGTCCACGACCACCAGACATGCATCTAACATATGTAGGATGATCAAAACAGATATTCAGGTGGGTTCGATCTTCGCCAAAAGAAACTATGAGAACTTTTTTGTTCTCATGATTGTGTACTACCTTCGTACTATTTTGACAAAAAGTATTTTCGTTCGCTCTTTAAGTCTGATTGGTGTCAACTCACTTGATGACCTCTTTCGATCGTCTTACGTATGCTGAAGGCATGACGGGTGGTTGTGGACGGACGAATCGTTATTTTTAGTTAGAATGATATAATTATCTTTTTATATAAAAAGAAACGATATCTATGTAGTTATACTTGTGATTTGAATTGGAACGATTTCAAACACGTTAAATTTGTACTAAAACGATATGAATGTCATTATTTTATTTATGATTTTGATATATAACGATATCATTATCGTTTCAATACAAATTTGACGACATTGATATCGTTTTAGCTCAAATCATAACTAAAACTACATACATATCGTTTCAGTTAAAATAAAATGACAATAATATTGTTTGTACTAAAAATAACGATTCGACCGTCCACAACCACCAGACATGCATCTGACATATGTAGGATGATCAAAATAGATATTCAAGTGGGTTCGATCTCCTTCAAAAGAAACTATGAGAACTTTTTTGTTCTCAAGATTGTATATCACCTTCGTAATATTTCGATAGAAAGTATTTTCGTTCACTCTTTTTAAGTCATTCAATTGGTGTCAACTCACTTGATGACCTCTTTCGATCATCCTACGTACGCTGAAGGCATGATGGGTGATTGTGGACGGTCGAGTCGTTATTTTTAGCTAGAACAATATAATTATCGTTTTATATGAAAAGAAACGATATCTATGTCGTTATACTTGTGATTTGAATTGAAACAATTTCAAACTCGTCAAATTTGTACTAAAACGATATGAATGTTGTTACTTTATTTGTGATTTTTATATATAACGATATCATTATCGTTTTAATACAAGTTTGACGACATTGATATCGTTTTAGCTTAAATTATAACTAAAACTACAAACATATTGTTTCAGTTAAACTAAAAATGACAATTATATCGTTTGTGCTAAAAATAACGATTCGATCGTCCACGACCACCAGACATGCATCTGACATATGTAGGATAATCAAAATAGATAATCAAGTGGGTTCGATTTCCTTCAAAAGAAATTATGAGAACATTTTTGTTCTCATGATTGTATACCACCTTCGTGCTATTTCGGCGGAAAGTATTTTCGTGCGATCTTTTTAAGTCATTCGAGTGGTATAAATCCACTTAACGACATTTTTCAATCGTTCTGCGTATGCTGAAAGCATAACAGGCGGTTGTGAACGATCGAATCTTTATATTTAGTTAGAACGATATAAATATCGTTTTATATGAAAATAAACGATATCTATGTTGTTATCATTGTGATTTGAATTAGAATGATTTCAAACTTATTAAATTTGTGCTATAACGATTTGGATGTCGTTGTCTTATTTTGTGGGTTTGATACATGACGATACTATTATCGTTTCAGTTCAAATTTGAAAACGTTGATATCGTTTTGGTTTAAATCCTAACTAAAACGATAATTATAAAAACGACGATTCGATCGTCCACAGTCACCTGACGTATATTTGTTATACGTAAGATGATAAAATAAGTCACTAAATGAGTTCAATCTCATTCAACAAAAAGAAAGATAATATCTCCATTCGCTCTTTCTGAGCTATTCGAGTGCTACCAATTCACTTGATGCCTTCTTTCGGTCATCATATGTCGTTCTAATTATTATTTAAACTGTAATGATTTCAAACTTGTTAAATTTGAAAAGAAACGATGCATATGTCGTTCTAGTTATTATTTTGTACCTAAAGGAAAATTTCGAAGTCATTATTAGAATAAGAGCATTTTATACTACAACGACATCAACTGCTTTATGTGTCACCGTAACGAAGAATATATTGTTACATGAATATGCACAATGTTCACATTCTGATCATGTATAATTCGTAAACTTGAAAATTATAAAAAGTCAAGAAAATATGTAAATTTCAATTACATTTAATATCATAGTTATAATGTTCTAGTGTAACCACTCCCAAAACGATATGTATGATATTATAGTTACGATTTAATAGGAATGATATCATTGTCTTCAAAAATTGAATTGAAACGACATAAACGTTGTTTACTTATTCCATAGCCTGCGCCTAAACCTGTTAAACAGTGAAACAATGTGTGTTTGATATCGAAACAACATATACATCATTTTTTGCATTTCAGGATCGAGTTAAATGTCGTTATACAAATCAGTCAAGTAGAGTGTATTCGATACTAAAACGACATCGAAGTCGTTTTATATTTCAAGAACGATTTCAACGTTGTTATGCAAATCAGTGAAACAATGTCAGCAGCTTATTTCCATTCCACATTTTTATTAAGTTGATAAGTTATATTTTACGATTTCTTCAAATTGCAATATCTTGGTGCCGGTTTACCTGAATCAATTTTTTCTCGATTCGAATAATTCTTATTACAAACTTTAAAATGAGTCCAATATCGATATACTACATCGCTTTTTATTAAAATCTAATTATTGGGCTCTAAATAAGATAGAAATTTAAAAAATATTTTTTTGTCCATTTTTTTAAAAATATAATGATAAAATTTATTTTAAAAAATTTCATGTGTTATAATAGGTGTCTAATAAATAAATGACTCAGTAATTATTTTTGACTAGTTGCTAAGTTGTGGACAATGTTAAAACTTTGGATGTACCGAAGATCAATTATGAAGAAGAGATGGCCTTAAACTTAAAAAAAAAAGTTCGATTTCTAAACGAGAAGATTTTGAAGGGGAATATTTTTTGAATTTAAAGGAAGAGAATGCTATGTGTTAGAACATGAATGCATAGTTATCAGAGCCAACCCAATGCTTGACTTGAAAAAAAACACTGGGTAAATGATTCAACTAGTGGGTTATTGTTAAATTGTAATTTTAATTAAAATTTATTTTTGAAGTGAAAATGAAACAATTTTTTGAAATGTTATATATATATTTTGCTCACAAAAAATAGGGGACCATAACTTGCCGTAATAGTTGTGATGTTAAAATATTTTATTGACATCAAAGGTTCAAATCACAGCAAATTTAGAAAAAAACTTCAATCACTTCATTTTTGTTTTACAAGTTAAGGGTAAAGAAGTCTTTGACACTTTTTAATAATTAAAGCACTTTTTAAATTTATAACTTTGATCAAAGCCGATTGAACAAAATGTGCATTAGGAAAGGCCTTCCCAACTCATTTCCCCCCGTCCTTTTCCAATCAAATTATCCTGTGCCGTTGGTGCACTGCACCATCTGAATCCGTTCAGAAGAAAAGAAAAAAAAGAAAAAGGAATTTGAGTTGAGAGAGACGAAGAGCCAAAAGAAAATGGTATCCGAAGACAAGACGACGCTGTACAAACAATTGCACAAGCTAACAGCATTACAATCCGAACAAGAACTGGAAAATTTTCTCAATCTCCTTTGGAAAACTCGCAAGACTGGTCTCTCTGCTTCCGACAAATCCTCAGTCCACTTGTCCCTTCTTAAAGTCCCATCTCTCGGCGACCTCGACCTGGTATGTAATTGTTGAACCCTGTTCTACCATTGTTGTGCCCTTACCACTTAATTATACTTGGTTCATGAAAAATCAATTCAGTAATATTTGAATATAATTAACGGTTTCTCGTGCTCACCTAAAAAGAACCTAGGTATTTTATGGTGTCGTTAGATTAAAAGTATAATTTTCATGTTTAATTGATAGTTGTGCATAGTGGCAATCGGAAATTGCTGGATTTGTACGAAGGTGGGTGCTTTGATATTATTGAAGCNTGAAGGATATGTGAATTATATATCTTCTGTGATCATCTATCTTTTACTCGTGGTTTAATTTTTAATATTTAGAGATAAGATGCAGTCAAACGAACAGTACTATGGTGGCTGATTTCTTGTGATTTTCTTTTTGATAGTTTTCAATTACCTATCTACTTCCCTCAAGTCCAGTCAGTATTTCTTCGATTTGGTTCTAGCTACACTTAAGCATTCAGATTTGGATAAGATTTGGTGGCACTTGGTCACGTAGGGGCTACGTTCTCAGAATAAGCGTGGTTACATGTACTGCTCGATTGCTTGGATCTAGCTAGAGCTATTCATCCCTAACAACTCCCAAATCTCCACTTTCAGTTGAAAATCTGAACTTATTGCTTAGGTTTTAGAATATAGAAATTGTGTTTTTGTGGTGGTGACAATATGACCTATAATAAGTTTCTGGCTTTAGGTTTTGGCATGTGTTCGATCACTTATCAGAAAATGTGTACATGAGAACTTAGAAGGTGATGGTATTTTGAAGCTGCTTCCACATAATCTTCCTCTCGAACTTCAACGCATGCTTCTAATGTCATTGCAAAAATATCAGAGCCAGTGGAAGCAGGAGCTGTCAGAGGAGCAGGTGTGATTTTTCCAGGATGTCATAAAAATTAGATGCTATTTATTGCATTCTTGTGCAAATAATTTTAATTTTGTGTTTATACACATGAAGCATGATCACAATATGAAAAACTCCTTACCTTTTTATTCATAGAGAAGTAGCTTAATTGACTTTCAATATCCTACAAATGGAAATTTAATGAGCAGGGGGACCAATTCTCAAGATTTTAAATGAGGTGTATGAAAATTGCTTGAAATTCATAGGCGATACTGTGAATTTGCAAATGCATATGGGACCTTGCCCCTGGGTTTCCCCAGGCATCCAACGCTGATACTAGGGTCACATAGAAAATATTATTGCTGCTTTGGTCTGAGTTGTTTCAATATTTCTGAAATATTTTTCTGTGAATTTGGCAGCATCTGTTAGGAAGTTCTGGATGTTTGCATCGAGTTAATACCGACTTGCCACCACCTTTATCATCTTTTGTTTCTTCAGAAGGTTGTGGATCATCATGGTCTCGGCAAGTTAATCCAGTCCCTCAATCTGATGGTCAGCATGTTGGAGGTCCTATGTCAATCAATGTCTCACACTCTTCACTAGTGCCACTTCAAAATGATGTCAACCCTGCAGACGTATTGTTATGCAATAAATAAGTAGTTTAATTTTTGATTGCCTTCTGCACTTCAATGTTTGGTGTCTCTATGCTAATTTAGCAGATAGGGATACATTTTCCTTCCATTCCACCCTTTATCCACTTGGGAATAAATTTTTTTATGCCAACTAGTATTTATGTGTATATTATCTCGATGTAGGGAATTCTTCCACAACTGAAGTCTATGGCTTGGACTGTGGACAATAAAAACAAGATGCCAGCTAATCGAGTGGCTATTATAACTCTTAAGGTATGCTAATTATCCAAGCTTAAATGCATGAACTAAAATGGGTTATGTCCAACCAAACAAGCAGCTGTGAAAATTACAAATAGGTTTCAATCTTAGCAGAAAATGATACTATTATTAGATTATAGTAAATCGCCTGTATCCAAATTTGTTAGAAACAAAACTCAAAACGCACAAGATAATTTGTAGTGAATAAAGGTTTTTGACATCAGCTACATTACCTTATATCTTATTGAAATTGCTACAGTAAATTTTGATATTCCCATGTGGCACTGATAGGGTGTGGATGCATTACTTTAACATGTTTTGCAGAAAAGGTCTCCAATGCACTTCCTTTTGTGACATCTTATTTTAAAGAATCATAATTTTTGGGTGAACGGTTATTCTTTCTCATTGCCTCTCTTTACAATGTCAATTCCGCTTAACAGCTGCAAGATTTCTCGAAGTCTCCTCCAACAGAAATAGAGGTGAAGTTTCAGCTTAGCAGAGACACTCTGGATGCAATGTTGAGATCAATGACCTACATCAGTGAAAAACTGTCGAGCTCTGTAATATTCTCTACTTAAGTCATTTTCATATTTGACATTGCATCAGGTTGACGCGAGTTGATGTTAAGTAGAGAAGCCTAATGATCTGTACAGGATGATTCTGTTTCTCTTGAATTGATTGCTAGATACTAGGACTTTGTCCTACTGCACATCAAACATACACTTACTGTGTTATGTGTGTCTAAGTTTTAGTATCGATTTTGTTTCACTTGGCAAATCAATGGTTTGTTGTACTTTCTGACTGAAACAAAAGCAATATTAGGGCTTGTTCGATAGTGATTTTGAGAATTGAATTTTTGATCGTTGGAGAGAAGTGGGTCGTATCTATGAGAGAAGAAGTAAAAAATGACGGCCTAAATAGTGAAATAACGGTAAAAAAATTAATTTTTTGGGGGTGAAAAATCAATACCAAACAGGCACTCAACTATATGGTACAGTATTCCTGGGAACAGTGAAGGTTGTAATATATGTTTAATATTGGAATAAACAAGTACATTGTTTTCTTTCACTTCTGACATTATTATCAATTTTTTTCTTGTAATTTTTTTCTGATTTTCTGTTAATTTTGCATTTTGGTTCAGGTTGAATCTGCATCGGTGCCATCCCAGAAGCGACAAAGACACTAATTGATCATTTTTCTTATTTTTGTTATTCCTGTAGAGGTAAAGGTTTGTGACTAAAAATGTCAATGATCAGTCGACATTTGGCTATTATATTCAGTAGCCGGCCAGAAGGGAAGTTCAGCTTCACCTGACTATGATTCAAAATTTGCAACCAGCTTCTCCGAATCATACCTGATGCTTGTAACTTGAGACCAGTGGTTAGCTTAGGTAAGGCAGCTCACCAAATTTCTCTTTGTTTTTTTGAGAATAGCCACCGGGGGTTACTCTTCAGACCTCTCACTTAGGTAGTTAAGTTAATCGATCTTGGCGTCTCCTGAGGACAATCTCAATTTTTGATTGGCTCTTTGTTTCTACTCAAGTAGTTGCACGCTCATATAATATTTCTTAACATCGTATGAATGCTATGTATCCATTAACCAAATACTTTGTATAATACAGATTATTTAGGACAAATCGAACACAGTTTTTTGTAATATAAGTTATACTTATTTGACAGTCTTTATCCCAAGGGCAGCATGGCATAATCTCGTCAGAACTACTTGCTCTTATTAATGCTCAAGGTTTGCTTAACTACTAAACCTTATATCAAAAATCCCAAAATGCGAAAATGCTTGAAATTTTCATTGGTTTTGCAATTTTGTGCTACTTTAGCTACTCTTGAGCTCACGCTGCAAATGCTAGGGATCTTCGTCTCCCATTCGAAGAACTACTTGGCGGAACTCTTGGAATGTTGTGGATTTGATGGCAGATCTTGTCTACTTAAATTGAACCGTGTGACATAATCTCGTATGTTGCAATTTGTGTTGTGTTTTGTTTTCATCCCGGCAGATATTGTGTTTGCTAAGTTTAATCAATTTGAGCTTTAAACACGAAAGTTTGGATGAAAAGAGATCGATTAAGAAAAAGTGTTGCGAGAATCGGATTTCATCATTAGTATTCTTTATTAGCTTTGGCTATTCAAGAAGTGCATTTCACAGAGTTATCTAAGGCTTCTAAACTTGACAAATTATGATTGAGTGAGTGAATCATTATTGAATTTAGTGTAAATATGTTAATTGTATGAGAAAATTCAATTTGGATGCATATGGCTTGAGAAAGGAGATTTTGAGTTTAATTGGAGTTGATTAAGAGCAATTGAAGATTATTCGAGTTGCTCGTGATCAGTTTGAAGAATTAAGAGCACAATCATAAGAAGTTCACAAGTTTTGGGAGTAAATTCAATATTTAGAAAGTTTGAGAACTCAATTACAAGCTTTAAGAACTTACATCGGGTAATGAATAATTGTGGAATGAGAAGGACTAAATTGTAAATATTCAAAGATGAATAACCTATGTTGCAAATAAAAAGAAATCGAGCTAAACAAAAGAAGAAATTCACGGGGTTTTCAATTTCAATAAGTGAAATAGGTTATAACCACGTGATCATAGTCAATTGTAGTGTGCGATCGTGCAGTACTTCCGGCCGTACTTCCGGCCAGCAAAGTTTTTGTTTCCTAATTTTATTCAACCTCCTCTTGAAAAACAATTACACCCAAGTTTCATAGCTTTTGGTCCGCTATTCCGATCATGATTTTCTTACCCCCAGAGGAAATGGCACGAATTTTGACCTAATTCTTGGAGATATAAATACATATCTTCATCTACAATTCGAGAAGCTTTTGCTTAATTTGTCATCATTTGTAAATTTATTTCTTTATATTTCTATTTATAATTTTTTATTCATGCAGGCTGCATGTTCTAGCGATTTTTGGAAATTTTTTACGAGTAATTATATTACCATCACAACATTTAGTTAGTATACCACATTAAAATCACACAACAATTAAGAAGCCTCTTTAATAAATACACCACAACAAATATACGACTGTTATGAAAAGAGAGAGAAGAGAAAAAAAGGATAAAACTCAATAGACTTGTGTGTATTTTATTAAGAATCAAAACCCTGTATTTATAGGGAAGAATCAAGGATACAACGGGAATAATTTTGGGAGTTGCAGGGATACAATTGTCATTAACTAATAAACTTACAATTTACAATACTTTCCCTTTAACGACACATTACAAAATATCTGCCTCGTTAAAATCTTGTTTGATAAAACTCTAATAGGACCAAAAAAAAAAAAAATCAAACAAAGGAAAATAATGCAGTTATTTTGAAGTATTAAAAATAAGTGATGCCTCATTAAAACCTTGTTAGGAAAATCCAGTGGGATAAAATCTGAGCGAAGAAAAAGAGTACAGTTACTCTCCCTGATATTGATCGCTAAAAATCTTTGAGTCGACATATTTCAATCTCATGAACCAATTTCTTGAATGTAGATGTCCGCAATACTTTTATTAATAAATCAGCCACATTGTCAGCTGAACGAATTTGATGAACATTGATGTCGTCATTCTTCTGAAACTCATATGTATGAAAGAATTTTAGAGAAATATGCTTCGTTCTATCACTTTTGATATAGCCTCATTTGAGTTGTACAATACAAGTTGCATTGTCTTCATACGAAATTGTTGAATCATATTTTGTTGAAATTAACCCGCATTTGCTTGGATATGATAGGTCATGTTTCTCAATCATACACATTCTCGGTCTGCTTTAAGAATTGCAATAATTTCAGAATAATTTATGTATATTGTTGTCAAAGATTACTGTATAGATTTCCATGATATAACTGTTCCTCCACGTGTAAACATATATCTTGCAAGGAATTTTACAGAAAAAGATATGTTGGGTCGAGTGCAATATGTAAAATAAGTTAATGCTCCAGCTGCCACTAAGATATGGTATTTCAAGACCAAAAATCCTTTCTGCATCTTCAAGTGGACGAAATTGATCATTTTTTACTTCGAGTGATCGAGTAACCATAGATGATGCCAATGGATGTGTATCATCCATATAAAGACTTTTAACTTTTTGCATGTATGTAGTCCTTCTAGAAAGGATTCAATTTGCAATCCATGACAAAATTTGATTTTTTTCAAATCTTTCATATCAAATTTATTTTTAAAATAATCAGTAATTTAGTTGAGCTTTTCAATAGTTCCAATAAAATTTAAATTACAACATAAACTACCAAATATGTATATTTTGTTGAGCTTTTCAAGAGTTCCAATTGCAAATTCATTATTTAATTTCTTTATGAAAACACATAGGCAGACATAGTTATTTTTACAGTCTTCCTTTAACATATATTCGCTAAGACGATTACACTACATACGTCTATTCTATTAGTTAATCATTACTTCGATCGATATATTTCGATGCAGTTATTTTGATTCCTCATTATATGATGTAGTGCATCATGTGCAAAATTATTGTTGACAAATTTTTTCTTTTCGATTCTTTTTTTTTCATAATGACATAACTTATTAAGATATTTTAAATTTAATTATTTCACAGACCCGAACCTCTTCTGAGTTTTTATAATTTGTTATGTTTAAATACTCATGAAGAGTAAATGCTTCTTTGATGAATCCATTTTAGCTAATTGCTCCATTTTCGTTTGGAGACCTTTTGTATTAGAATAGAACATTATCATGCTTTAGGTGTGTCATAGATATATCAAATATAATGCTATTAAATTGTCCTCCTATGACATCGATTAGTATTGGAGCATTTTAAACTGATGCTTGAGAATTCGTTGATCTCTTTGGTCAATAAATGCATCTAAATAAATTATCTTTTGAATTTCTAATTCGAATTCTTTTGCTGGGATTTATACAATGATATATTTGTACATTATTTTCAGTTTCTTAATTCCTCTCCCTAAGCTGAGAGGGTTGTCCAATAACAATTGATAATCAGTAAATTGCATTATCAAATATCACCCATTTGAGATAAGAAATGAAACTATGCATTTCTTTTCAACATTCTTTACCTTTAACCTCATTACAATGTGGTGGATTAATTGCACTATTAAGTAATTTGATGAAGAAATTAGGCTCTGATCATAAGCTAATTATAATGGGGGAAATATGATATTGGCATGATGCGTAATAGCATTTCCACATATTTGCGAAGAACTTTGTTCTCAATTAATTGGAGAAATTTGACAAATAATAGTGTTAAACCATTTAACGACATTCGAGCTAAAACTTATTAAAATATTGAGATTTATGCCTTCAACATTAACAAGATATAATCTTGATTATATAATCTGAAAATTATGTTCATAATTTAAAATTTGAGCATTAATTTTGCAAAATTTAGATTGCGAACACCATGTAATCATTTAGTATATATATCAAATTTATTAGATACAAATAATATTTATATGATCAACGTGAAGGATGATGTGTCCCATTTATCACCCTAATTAATTTTTAGAAATATAGAGAATTTAGTTCATATTTTAGTTAGTGATGGTTAATGAAAATTTTTCACGAAAGAAAACAAATATCATATAGAATTGAATTCAAGAATATTTTGGTACTTCATTAAATGTCCATTTGTATTTTTAATTTCCCATCATTATTAATCCAATGACGATCCAATTAATCATGCCAATTGACTATGCCAATATTGATACACCCGAGGCATTTATTCCCGAGGACTCAATACATGCCCCCACCTCATTTCTCTTCTTCAGTCCTCGAGGTCATCTAAGTCCTCGAGATATTGTAGTCCTCGGGATACCTCGAGGACACTTTTACATTCCCTCAATGTCCTCGAGAATAGTCCTCGAGACACACACCACCAACGTACCTCCTAAGACCTGGGTACCTAACTAACAAACCTAAAAACCCAAGGATTCTACATCAACCCTAACACCACTTGTCAAACAATTCCGTTACAAGTAGGACATTCTTTATAATAGAAATTCCCTTGGATAAAAACATCCAACCAACACAATCCTACTAGGAGTACACTACCTACTCCTATAAAAGCAGAACCTTGGGCCATTATTCAGGTACGTTTTACATTGTTCTTCAGCACATAGCCTCACGCATATATTTCCCTTTCTGACTTAAGCATCGGAGGGGCGACGAGAACACACCTCGTTGCCTTTGTTTCAGGTATCGGAAGATCACGTTCGTGCTCCTCACCAATCATCAAGCTCGGAAAATCAGCAGGTACGATTTTTGGTAGCATCATTGGCGCCGTCTGTGGGAAGCGCTACCAAAAGTCATGGTAAACACACGATCAGGTCTTCCACCCGCAAGCTCATCCGCTCCAAACCAACCCCCTCCTGAGGATATCCCTGTTCCTCAAGAGGAATCATCAGAAGTGCCAGAGCCCCAGCCGGCAGTCGTCACTACCGTAGCCTTTGAAGAGCTCAGACAACAGGTCGCCACACTGACTCAGCTGCTAAGTCAAAGAAATTCGCATCCGTCACCTACACCAGCACCCCAGGGGGGTTTTATGGCTGATGCTCGAGCTCGAGCTCATGTCCCTGACAACGGCGGAGCAGGGGCCTCGGGTATACCACATGTGACCTCGGCCAGAATCATCCCAGGCCCTTGCTGAAGTTCATGAAGGTGTGTGCGGGAATCATCAAGGAGCCAGGGCCTTGGCCTTTAAACTC